AAAGTTTTCCACTTTCTTGTGTGAAGGTATGTGATGGCTTGGTAGACAAATGATAGCTGATTGCGGGCAAGCAGCTCACAGATTGTCATTAGCACCATTTCTGTTGTAAGAACTAGCGTCCTACGCAATCTAGTCATCGCTTCTGCCTTATTAGCTGCAGAATGCAGTTTTGCCTGCCTTCTCCCCAAGTCTATTCAGTGTGTGCGCACGCACGTCAGCGAAGTTGAGGCCAAACTGAATGCGGTGATGCCGACGGTTACTCGAATGGTGAAGTCTGCCGCAGCACTGAATTTTGCTGTTTTCCCTAGCATCCAGCTTGTGTCCATTCGATAGCAAACGTCGCACTTCTGAGAGATCGAAAAGTTGAAGGCGAACCTCCCAGATGACCCTCCCTTGCTTAGCCAAGGCAGATCGATTATCGAAAACAACCGGCAGAACTATGAAGTAGATGCGGTTCGTTATCGACATCAAATCCAACGAGTCATCAGCCACCAGCTTGGTTTTGATATGGTGCAGAAGACATGGTCCCCCTTTAACCGCACGGAACAGATAACGGCAGATGTGCATACCATATGTACAGATCGAATTTCTGTGTTTAGTTTCCGTTTATCACAGACTGTTCGCTCTAAAAGCTTAACAGCAGTAGAAAGAGAGTGCACAGTGCCTCGGGAATTAAGTGGTTTTTCAAGTGAGGCCTAGAATCGTGATTATCTCTTACATGTATTGCGGAAAGAAGTGGATAGCATGCACAGGTCATTAAAATCACACAGCTCATACCAGTATCGTATCGAGGCTGTATGCTGACCAGTTTTCGCTGCCACGTAATTCGGTGATTTCACCTGCGATGACGTATCGGTGAACATAGAACTAGAATTTGGGCAACTAGGCCAGTTTTCAATTGCGGTCGATGAAACCACGGCTAGACTTCCGCCTTAGACAGTATAAACGGAAGCAAACAACAAAGGAATAAAAAAACAACTGCTGCAATCAGTGTTCAAAACTGATTAATTTTACCAGTAATGGTGTGCAAGTTTCGACCTTCAAAGTGAAACTGGCCTCGTACAAGGTCTGCTAAATTCAGTCCTAATGGTCAGTTAAACATTTCCCAGCCTCAGAGATAAATGCGATTGCATCAGGGTGCATTTACAAACAGTTCGTTGTTCTGCGTTTGCATTCGTTTTGTCATATGACGCTTAGGAGTTAGTCATAATTTCAAGTTTAAATTAGAAAATCACTTCAGAGCGACTTCTGAGATCTTGTGTACTTCTTTCGTATTACCGTTTTGTTGGTAGAGCGGATATTCTGTAGTCAGTTGGCCCATGGTTACGTTTCATTGTCCACTCTACGCTGAGACGAGTGTTGGAATTAACGTTTGTGCCTAGTATGCATCTACACGTGTATCGTGTTGCATTGCTTATCATAAATGACCGTTTTCCCACAGCATATTAAAACCTGCTTTGTTGATTGTTCACGGTTAGTTGTTTGTATGGGATGTTTCTGTGTTCTAGAATACATGCCAGCTTTGTTTTCTGTGGGTAAAGTCTGGTTCTGTGAAATACTTCAAGCCCTCTGCTTGTGTTAGTGACATCATAGGATATTAAAATAGGTTCATTGCAAGTTATGATGATATGTTACAAAAGCAGCGAAGTAATCTTTAAAATTAAGCCAGTGAAATGCAGAAAGGAGCAAGCAGGATTCAGAAGTGGATTAAACACGCTGGTTCATCTTCGTATGGTGCAACAAGTAATTCAGGCAAGCAATAAATATCAGCTTCCTCTCTGCCTGTACGGAAATCCGTAAGGAGTCAGGGAATCGAGAAAAGACGCAGACCACTTCGCCATGATTTACGAGAATGTAACTGTTAGTGTAAAACTTAACGCCATTGCAAGCAAGTTCAAATCGATTAAAGGAGTCCGACAGGATGATGCAATATTAACTAAGTTGTTCGCAACATCTCTAGAAATGGTTTTCAGGACGATGCGTTGGGAAAAGCCGGTGCTAAAGATAAATGGGCACAATTTAAGCCACCTTAGGTTTGCAGACTATATTCCGATACTCTGCGATCAGCAGAAGAACTCCAAAGAAGAATCTTGGACGACGCTAGTGTCAAAGTTGAAAGATGCTAGTGGCAATGCAGGACCAGAAATAAACCTGACAACGACTCAGGTCATGTTTAACAAGCACGTGACCCCGCGACCTGAAGTCGATGGGCTTAATCTTGAAGATGTGAAAAATTATTTCTTCTGGGTAAGCTGATTTCTACAACGGAGAATTGACCCTGTTAAATCAACAGAAGGATAGAACTGGCATGTAGCAGTTTTAGAAGACTATAAATGTTCCTCTCCCAGTAACACTCGTTTTTCTTGAAACGAAAAGTATTCGATCACTGTGCCCACAGGGCCAACTTATGGGGCGAAACATCGACCCTAAGCCTTGGGACTGTTCATAAACTACAGATTGCGCAATGCATGTTGGAAATAACAAGAAAAAGTATGAAGAGGAACGAGCGGGTTAAAGCACGAACTGGATTTTGCGATGTCATTGCGCGAGTGAAGAAGTTGAGTTGTTTTGTGTGCAGGACACGTAGCAAGAAGAATC